TGAATCTCTTAATTGTGTTTTATATATCAATCTATGCCAAATGTTTTTGCTTTCTACAGGCTATGTATACATTTGTTCGACTTGATCTATTTTGTTTTTGTTTATATACAATGCATATTTGAAATCTCGACGGTACGAGGGGAGGGAAAATAGTTGTATTTGAACTAGTCTTGATCCACTTGAAGCCAATTTTCAGACTGATGAGCAAACTCACCTTATAGGTTAATCTGTTATTGTTTCTAAGGATTGTGCATGCATCACTAGACACAATTGTTTCTTTCTTTTTTCTTTAACTTAATTGTCCTAAATTATTGGCTTAATTTATAGAAATGAATGAGAATTTGATTTATGGTCTATTGTTGCATACATATAGTAACACTACAAGAAAAAATACAATTGGCGACAAACACCTTTCGTCGCCAATGGTTCTATTTTGGTCACCATGGGCCATGCATGACCAAACTACTTTGTCGCCCTGGGTCGTCGGTGAAAGTGCGTGGTAGAATATGTTTACCCACGAAATTGACATTTGGTCATGTATGTTGTCATACGACCAATTCACTTTGTCACCATCTTTGGTCGCTAAAAGGTTAAATTTCGTCGCCAAAACAATTTGGCGACGACATTATTTCGTCACTATGTTGGTCGCCTAAGGCTCTTCGCTGAAAGTATCAGGCTCGTCACTATTTTGGCAATTGAGTCTTCATAATCTCCATTTATTTATTTACGCCCTTACAAAATCTGCACGAGATGATGTGATTTTGTTTCCTCCATGGACTCGGACTGTATTTTTATCCTATTAAAGGTTCTGTTTATGCAAATAATATTAGAATTCCTCATCCAGCCTCTTGCATTCAAAATGAATTATTTTTTTTTCTATATATATATATGTTAAGTTATATTTCTTAATTAACCTTCTTAAGATTAACAGGAAGATAAAAATCCAACCAGATAGAGAGAGGAACGTTTGATGAAAGCAGACAAAATGCAGTTAAGAGGTAAAAGCAATTGATTCCACCAAAATAGTTTGTTCTTAGCCAATTGGATAAAACTTCATATATAATAATTAGATTTATAATTAAACTACCCGATTTGTTATTATAGCCACATTATTCTGATTCCACCAAAATAGTTTGTTCTTAGGCAAATACATAACAAACTCATAGTAATCAATATATAGGTAGATTGTAATTCTATTTTTCCAAAATATTATGTATTTTTGTTGCGCAGATATACAACATAATGAAGGTCCCCCGATTTTTTAGGTAATTTCCTATGTATAGCCTCATTCTCAAGCAAACCACCAAATTAAAACTCTTCATATAGGAACTAGTATGTTAATAACTAATTATGACGACCACGCGATATCCGGGGGATTGTATATATCTTATTTTTGCATAAATGGGGTAATTAAGGATAAGGATTTATATTTCATATAGAGTGCCTATTTCCTCATCCACCTTGTCTTTTCACCCTCCATGTAAAGAGGCTAGTTTCTTATAAATAAAATCCATTTTTTATTCTTGCCTAATAGGCTAATAGCTGGAAATCATTAGAATGGGAGGTATATCGGAAAGAATTTAAATTCTCATTCACCAATATCACTGGTATAAATAAAATAATTGAAGAAATAACTCTATCCTACTTAGCAAAAGTGATATTTTAGCCCTAAAACCTAAAATAACATGACTAAATTGTATATTTAAAGCGTGGTATAGCCGTGCGGCTATACTCTTTAAATATATTTGAATATTCTTTAATATATCCAGGGTTTAACTCTGATAATCCTTTTCCATGTAAACAAACAAAAAAATTGCAAAATCAGAAACATACGTAAATTGGACGCCATGGTAGCCACGGATAGAGGACTCCAACTCCTCACTACGAACGTCTAGGGCACAGAGCAAGCCCGTTCCAGGTTTCGAGCAGTATTCGAAAAATCAGCCTAGGCACTAGGCGGGAGGACATCGACGCCAGGGAGTTAGGCGGCCACTAGGCGGCCTGGAAGGATCTAGGCGGCGCCTAGGCGGTCTGGGAGGATCTAGGGGGCCTGGGAGGATCTAGGCGGCCTGGGCGGGTTGTGTCCATAGTTATAGTTATAATCAACTTAGGCATCCATAGTTTTCCAAAAATTTACAAGCAGCAAAACAGAGAAAAGACGGGAATCATGGAGAGTTACCAATCCTTCGATCTGAATAACTCTGAGAGGCAAAACAAAACCAAATTTTCACAAAGAAGAAAAACAAAAGAATTCAAATTTACAGATAAAAATACAGATAGAGAATTGTAAGAACGGGTTGCCATGTTGTAATTTCACGGAGAGAGCAAAAGAAGAGAAGAGAGACAGAGCAATAGTATAAGATGGGAAGCTTTGTCTCTCTCGGGCGCGGAGGAACCTATGTGTATAGTGAATGTGAAGATGATTGCTAAACCTTAGTTGTCGGAGGACTGGAAAATTGGGCCTTGAACGATCGTAGGGCCAAATGAAGGGCCACGCAAAGTCCAAACTGCTTTCGGAAACCAAAACAAAAAGAGAAACAAAAAGAAAAGGAAACAATTATTTGTATTTATTTGCACGGTGTTGTGAAGAATAAAGTAGTGGGGCCTACTTACTATTTGTTAGAAGACTTTGTTGCATGAGCTCATTGCACACTCACAGATCCTCCCTTACATATAGAATAGGGCCATTGCTCTCACTTTTTTAAAAAGTTGCTTGCTGTGTTTTGAAAATAATTTACTATAAAGTAAAACACATTAGGAGAAGAGAACATAAAAAAGATAATTTTCTTACTTTATATAATGATTAGGCATATGTATTAAATTATAGGTATTGGTTTGAATCAGCACATTGGCATGGGGTGTAAACCTTCCAGGTCATCATCTGGTCATTATTAAGGTAAGGCAAAATTTGTGCGGTTTCTTTTTCATTTGGTTCCTATATTTACAAAGGTTTCTTGCAGGAGTATATTGCAGCAGCTGTTCTTCAGGACAAATTTACATAAGTGTTGATTCTCTTGCAGGGAACAGAATATTATGATGGGAAAACAAAGACATATGTTAATTTTCCAATATCAATCACATATATATTGCAACTAATGGTTTTGGTCACATATGACTATATCAAGGGCGGAACTAGGTAGAGGGCTACCATGGGCTTTAGCCTAGGTAGCCTTTTTATGAAATTAAAATATATAACATGTATTTTAATGTTATTCATCCCATAAAAACTTAGTAGCCCACTTAAATGTAGCCTTGTAACTCATTGTCCACTCAATTTTGTAGGCCTATAATCATCTTATATTTAATTTGTTTGCTCAATTAGGAAACATAATCTCTTAATAAACGCTCATGATTTTAACTCTCAACCTTTTACTATTTTATCCCAATGTATACTTTTATTTCTAGAAAAACTAGAGAAACAGTAAGTACCCAAACAAAACTTGGTCCTTAGATTTTAAGCTAATAACTTTAGCTAGCCCACCCATTGAAAAATTCCTGGTTCCGCCCTTGGACTATATAGAATAAAAAATAGAAAGAAATATGTGAATAAGATTTTCTCCCTTTATAATCAACAGTTGCTCAGATTCTACATGCTTTTCTCCCTCATTGTCCTCAAACCTTGTACTTCTTGTATACTAAATTTTACACAATAGTAGGTTTGCTTTGTTTAGATTTTAGTATGTTTTATTAAAATGCAATTTCTTATTTTTATTTAAAAGGCATTGTATAATTTACCAGAGATACAATTTATATGTCACACATGCGCAAGGATTGCACACGAGAGTTACAACTTACATGAATTCATGGAAGCCAGAGATACAACACCGGACAAGGCCTCTCTCTCTCTCTCTCTCTCTCTCTCTCTCTCTCTCTCTCTCTCTCTCTCTCTCTCTCTCTCTCTCTCTCTCTCTCTCTCTCTCTCTCTCTCCGTGTCTAATAAGCTAGCTGCTGAACAAGAAAGGAGCAGACCTGGCATCAAAAATGGAAGCCAGCGAATACCAAACCAGACAAATTCAGTTCATCCATGCCCCACTCCGTGATCACCTCTGCAACCCCCTCCCTGCTCTCACCAAGGCCCGACCAATCACATTCTACACGACATTGGGATCAGACTCAAAACGCGCCACTTCTGGCGCCGGTTACAGCAATCGCAGGCCATGCCGGTTCTAGACGAGCCAAGCCCCTCGCCGATCCCGCAAAAAAAAGCAGCCGTTTCTTGGTGAGTGGGAAATGACGTTTGTGACCTTTAATATTGCGTGTGTGCGTCACGGTGCCAGGAGGGTTCTCTCGGTGCAATTAAGGTAATCCAGCTCAGTTAAGGTTTTTCCTTATATATAAGGGCACTTCCAGCAGTCAAACACTTGCAATGGCAAGGGGGGGCTAAGGCTGACACTATTCACGTGAATAGTGTCTGCCCTTGCAAATAGTAAGTTGCACTTCCAGCAGTTGCCCGGGCAAAGGGTAAGTACTATTCAATTTTTTGTTTTTTTTCATAAATTTGTTTACCTAAACAATTAATTTGGACAATATTTTCGGATAAAATATTCGAAGAAGATTTTCAGATAAGATTTTCAGTTTCAAATTTCAGATAAATTTTTGTTTCAAATTTCGGATAAATTTCAAAATTTAAATTTCATATAAATTTCAGATACTTTTCATTTCAATTTCAACTTTTCATTTCAATTTCAAATTTCATCTAAATTTCATCTAAATTTCAAATTTCGGATAAGATTTTCAACTTATAAAATTACGCCACGTGTCATGTCTATCGACCTAAATTTTTCTATAAAACTAAGGCTCAGCTCCACAAACCTCTCACACTACATCTTCTCAAAATTTCATTTCTCAGATTTTAGATTTCATATTTCATATTTCATATTCCATTCTCAATGTCAGACATGGAGGAGGTCTTGGAGAGGCAAGAGCGAGAAATAAGATAAAGAAGGCGTAGACGAGCTGCAAGCAAAAGAGCCCAGAGAGATCTAGATCAGCAACTTGTCATGGCTGTGGCTTTGCTTGATGAAGAAAACCAGAGCAGTCGTGGTTCACATGAAGGCCGTGCAGCAAATGTTGACAGACATAGGCATTCTCGGGGTAAGAATCTTATGGAAGATTATTTTATCCCAACATCTCTGTACTCTGATGTTCATTTTCGAGGGCGATATAGAATGCAACAACATTTGTTCAATAAAGTCATGCATGATATTTGCAATTATGATGAATACTTTGTTCAAAAGAGAAATTGTGCTGGTGTTTTGGGACTGCTTCCCGAACAAAAGTTAACAGCTGCTATACGAATGTTGGCGTATGGTGCATCTGCTGATCAGGTGGATGAGATTGCCCGAATGGGTAAGTCCACTGCTTTGGAGAGTTTGGTTAGATTTTGCGATGCAGTCGAAAATCTGTACACCAGGGACTACCTGCGCAGACCTACGCCCTGGGACTTGCAACGACTTCTACAGAAAGCCGAATGGAGAGGATTTCCAAGAATGATTGGTAGCATCGACTGCATGCACTGGCAATGGAAGAATTGCCCAACCACTTTGCAGGGAGATTACGGAAATCGGAAAGGCCAAAAAAGTATCATCCTTGAAGCTGTTGCAGGATTCGATACATGGGTTTGGCATGCCTTCTTCGGAGTTGCTGGATCACAAAGTGACTTGAACGTCCTAGGTCAATACCCGGTGTTCAACGATGTTTTGAGAGGAGAAGCCCCCAAAGTCACATATGAAATCAATAATACCGTTTACCAAAATGGGTATTATCTAGCTAACGGCATCTACCCGAGATGGACAACATTTGTGAAATCAATTCCGCATCCCCGAACCTAGAAGCAAAAATTATTTGCTACCCATCAAGAGAGTTATAGAAAAGATGTGGAAAGGTGCTTTGGTATCCTCCAAGCTCGGTGGGCGATCATTAGAGGTGCGGCACGTATGTTTGATGAGGAGGTGTTGAGGAGCATAATGATGACATGCATCATCCTCCATAACATGATTGTGGACGATGAGTATGATTATGAAGCTGAAGAGGTGTATGAAGAGGATCCCATGAACACGGCCTTGACAAGAATTTATGAAAAACCCATAGGGCCAAATGGAGAACCATTGGAGCATGAACCATTGGTTAGAGATGGTCGTTTCATGCACCATATGATTGATCGATATATGGAGATGCAATCGTCGTATATTCATGAATGCCGTCAAGTTGACTTAATGGAGCATTTATGGGCGGTGAAAGGCAATGACGGTGAATGAAGTGAAGTGAAGATGTTTTTTAAGATTTTAATGTTTATGTTTTATGTTTAGTGATGTTTGGTTTTTTTATGCTTTGGTTGTGGTTCGTTTGTTTTTATATTTTTAATGCTTTGGTTGTGGTTAGTTTTTTAAGTATGGAATGTTTTGAATAAAAAGGAATTTTATTTAATAGTTTCTTTGGTAACTCAAAGAAAACCAATACTAATAATATAATAAAATACATGAGTTACAAGCAAAAATTAAAACAAAACATTAAACTTGAAGGTGAAAAAAATATGGAGTAGAAAATGAAAAAAATATGGAGTAGAAAGTGAATAATAGTTGGAGGAGGAGAAAATGTATGAGGATTTGTTGTTAAAAATGAAGAGGATTGATTGGTATTTATAGAAAAAAAATTCAGTAATTTTTGGGAATTTTTTTAAATTTTTTCCGAATTTTTTTCATAATTGTTTGCCTTGAAAAATTCATGGGCGTTGGACTGGATGACAAAAGCAATCGGAAGGACCAGAAGCTGCCATGTGGCGTATGACCGTTGGGGAAAAACTGACGCGCGCGCAGCAAATTTTTTTATTTTTATTTTTAAAAAAAATTTGAATTGCGCCTGCTGGCGTCAGCAATGACGTCAGCAGCGCCTTCGGGCCAGCACTCGGGCTGATTCTGCCTTCGGGCCTGCCCAGGCAGGTGGACCCCAGTAGTTGCCTGGGCTGGATTTTGTTGCTGGAAATGGGTTTTGGCCTTTTACCACCCCCCCCCCCCAAGCCCTTGCCCTAGGGGGCTGCTGGAAGTGTTCTAAAGGGTTTAGCAAACACACTCGATAGATGGTTGCTATCTCTCTTCTCATTTGGTCTCTCCGTCCACTGCATCTTCTCTCTTTCTCTGCCACAGGGAAAATGTACTAAATATAATGCACCAGTGTCATTGATAAAGTAAGTTCAAAATTATTATATATGTTTTCCCTCTCATACATATTTATACATATCATGTAATCTGCATTTGAATTTGTGTTGTGATTAGCTTGTTAATTTCACTAATTTGAATCTCTTAATTGTGTTTTATATATCGATCTATGCCAAATGTTTTTGCTTTCTACAGGCTAGATATACATTTGTTCGACTTGATCTTCTTTTTTCTTTTTTTTATATACAATGTACGTATATTTGAAATCTCGACGGTATGAGGGAAGGGAAAATAGTTGTATTTGAACTAGTCTTGATCCACTTGAAGCCAAATTTTCAGACTGATGAGCACACTCGTTTCTTTCTTTTTTCTTTAACTTAATTGTCCTAAATTATTGGCTTAATTTATAGAAATGAATGAGAATTTGATTTATGGTCTATTGTTGCATAAATATAGTAAACGGCATATATTTTTGATCCTTTTTACATAAATATATGTTTAGGAATGAGTGTGATAAGTAAAAATCCCATGTAGGTATATACCCTATTAGACACTATTCTTTAATCCTTTTTACACTGTTATGAAATTCCTTTTTCGATCCCACTTCAAAAGTAACTAATAAACCTGTGTGTCGTAGGTACAAAACCAGGTTTTAAAAAACCAAAAATCAAACCCATCTATTTCGTGTAGGTAAACTAATACCCAGTTACCCAGTTTTGCTATGGTTTTGCTTTGGTTAGGACTAATAATCAATGGGGCTCCATGTACATGCAAGAGAGAGACGTTTTTACCTGCTATTTGACGGCATACCACTTACGCTTGCTAGTCGGTGTCGAATGCTTCGGTCGGTCTCGTCTTCTCTTTACGACTGGTCTGATGAATGGAATGTACTAGCGAACCCAGATTTTGAACGACATTAGAGGGTTTAGGGGAATCTAATGTTGGATAATCTATGGTTTCAATGGAGGGAATCGATCAAGTCTGAAATGTTGGAGAATCTATGGCTTCAATGGAGTTTTTGTAAACGGTAAGATGGTTTAGATGCGTTATATACCTACAATGGCAACTAATGTAAATAAATACAATATTATGACATCTTTCATCTTAGGAGGCATTACAGTTTGAATTTGGGTTTTCAACATAGTTCTATAGATAGATGGGTTTGTGTCTAGGGGATATCAGTTGTATGGGCTTATATTGGAGTCTCTCTAGTTTTTAAATTCCCCATTACCAGCCAAAGAAAAAAAAAGGTATTTTATCAAATTGCTCATGAACTTGTACTTAATTATCAATTTACCTCTCAACCTTTTTTTTTATTAAGAAAATTAAGGACTCGAACTATCTTTTATTCTCAATGTTTCCCCTGCCGTCTAAATCAACATTTCATCCAATTTGCCGTTGAATATGAGGGCAAATTGGTTATTTCATATGTTAAAAATAATTAAATACTTTCAAATAAAATAATATGACCAAAAAATGAAGAAAACAAATTATTTTATAAACATAGGGGTGGGACCCACCCACTCTCTCTCTCTCTCTCTCTCTCTCTCTATGCTACCCAAGACCCAATTGTGCCTCCCCCAGCCATATCCACCCTCGCTAGCTCTTCGCACCTACCAAACCTGTGATTCTCCACTCACCAATTGTGTCGATCCCTACCAGTTTTACCGTTCTCGAATCCCTATCTCTATCGGTCTCCTCTCTTCCTCAAACAAATCCCTTGTCAATGGGGAATTGAATTGCAGTATGTATGTATACCCAAAGCTAATAGGAACCCTCAACCATAATAAAAGCCTTCCCAGCCGTGAGAATCACCATTCCATTGTTCCGATATCTAATTAATTTTTTTTCTCAAACTCAATCTTATCTCTCGGTATTTCTTCTCTCATGGCTGAATTGGAAAATCCCCTCCTCAATGAATTCTGTGCTGCCGACACTGGCGTCGCCGCCGTCCAGTCACGCCAAGGGCCCGCCCCCAACGCCGACCAATTCCTGAAACAGAGCCTTAATGGTTGCAAAAGGTTCAATCGGGACAGAATTGCCGACAATGGTAATTAACATCTAATTTTTCTCCTGTGGAATTTAGGTGCCTTTTTGAATTAATGGTTAAGGTGTCTTATTGGAAATTTGGTACTCATGGTGAAGAAGCAACTGTCAGTGGAACTAATATGTTTATTGCTTGATGCTTTTCCATTAGACTGATGCTTTAATTGTTAGAACCATTGGTATCTTGGTGGTCAATGTAATTAGACTCTTGTTTTATGATTCTTGCAGGAATTCAGAAATCTAGTGATCCTAAACAAGTTGCCAGATCTGCAAAGATACGAGAGCTGACCACCAATACTCTTATGAGCTCTAAAGGCTCCATGAAGCTTCCATCTGGATTTGTTGAGCAGAAGCAATTCAAGGCGAACACAAGTCTATGCAGGTTTCTTTCTAATTACTCAATTTCTATTCCTAAAGTTGAAATCTCACTTCTCTATGGCTTCTAGGGATAAATATTTATTGTAACATTCCTATGATCTATGCCTCATTTCTTTATCAATTTTACTGTCATTCATACTTCCGTACCTTGTAATCTCCACTATACCTTCACATTATATAAAAACAGCTAAAACTTTTTGAAAACTTAAGAGGATGAGAAAACAGTATTTTAGTGAACAGGGATGTTTCAATTCAACCCGGAAAACCGTGTTAATAATCAGTGTACATAACTTCCTATACCCCATGGTAGTTGGCTTTTGATGAGCTAACATCATCACCATATCTAGAAACAAGGATAAACAAGTTTTACCACTTTTTTCTTTCTCAAGCAAACAATGCAGTGGATTAAAAGGTATTTCTTTCAGGCACATTAGGTTCCTAAGTCTTAGTTTTCCCACACAACACTGTGATTTAGCACAACCATATTGGCTTGCCATCACATATATGATTTATATTATGTAGTTTACTTGGGAGGTTGTGTTTGTACAAATTCATTTTAGTTAACGATCCATTCAACATTTTTCTTAGAGGGCATAAATTATGTGTATAATATATTGCATGGCGCAGGTTTATGAGATTCGATACTGCTACCAAAGCAAGGAAGGGAACCCAATTGTCTCTTGGATTGCCGACCTCTAGTAAGTTAAAAAGATCAAAGAGATCATCATCAACAGAAAGAAGAACATCAATTGATGATCTATCTGACGTTATATTGGCTGAAATCCTTTGCCGACTTCCATGCAATAAATTTGTTTTTCAATGCAAGTCTGTGTCTAAGCGTTGGTGCACTCTCATCGCAGATCCTTATTTTATTGGCCGCTTTGTAAATATCCAAAGTTATAAGAGAACTCCAAAGATACGCACTTTGATAAACAAAAGAGTGGTGGAATTCCCTCCTAAAGTGTCGCTGTCGCCTAATCTACTAACTCAGTCGCTCGAAAGAATCATTTGTTTCCACCGTTTCATAGGAAATCCAGTTGTGGTAGCGACATATAATGACTTACTTTTGTGCTGCACAAGCAAGGATTATCAACGCAATTACTACATCTGCAATGCATACACCATGCAATGGGTTGGTCTTCCTCCCACCCCAAGTCGATGTCACAAGCGTGTACGAGTGGGATTCATCTGCAATGTTCCTGACTATAAATGTGAGGAAGACAATTGGAAAGGAAATAACAGCCAGCTTAATG